GTTATCAAGGAGATGCCCTGTAAAACCGTGGGCGTCCTGGATAAGACCTTCCTGTATGGACTCAGGACATGGTTAGGTGGGCTAGAGAGAAGATTTTGGAATCTCTATAGATTATATTCTGGAGACCAAAAAGATCATTCAAGAGGGAAAGTAGAGAGAGAAAGGAGGAAAAGGGTCAAAACCAGACCCATGAAAGGTGTTAGTGGAAAACACCAGAAAGTGTATGTCTTGGGTGAGGGGTGGAGCAAAACTCTGGTTGGCCAAGTTTATGTGAGAATCCTTTAGGATTCTGTGAGTCATTGCTGTTCAAATTAAGCAAGGATGCAATACTCTGTACTGAACACTCTGGAATGAGAGTTTTAAAAAATAGCTTTCCCTTTATCTACACACAGTCTGACCTTTTCGAAAATAATTTTATAAAAATTAAGGGAAAAAAATTATCATGCAGAATCAAAAGCACAGATTTCTATTTATCATCTAGTCCCAAAGACTTGGTCCAACATCACAGGTTATCCTGTCTTTGTCTTCTCCTAGCCAGGTACCCAACTCTGTGACAAGGAAGACGTTTAGGGACTCCTATCATTTTTTTTTCTCTTTGCAGCCATGACCTAGGGAGAGGAAATCTAAATCCTGGGGCTCCATGTGGGCCTCTGTGCTTAAGACACATACCACATCCAGACTATCCAGTCAGGTGGATGCTGGAGGGTGGGAGGGAATGCCTGACACTCGCCTGGCTAAGAGGTAAAAATGCATCCATCAGTCCACAGTTCCTACACACTGTGAGGATGGCGTAAAGATGGCAACAAGAAGGCCACTGCCTGACCAGAGGACTGTGGGACTGCCTAGAGATGACCTCTAGGATGGTGGAAATAAATGTCTGGAAGACAGGTAAAAAGCCAGGTGTGAGATCTGGGTTTGGGAAGAGTTACTGTAGAAGCCACAGTTAAAGCTGAAAGACTGGATAAACTCTTAAGAATAGGACTAAGCAGGGGCTTCCCTGGTGGCGCAGTGGTTGAGAGTCCACCTGCCGATGCAGGGGACGTGGGTTCATGCCCCGGTCCGGGAGGATCCCACATGCCGCAGAGCGGCTGGGCCCGTGAGCCATGGCCGCTGAGCCTGCGCGTCCGGAGCCTGTGCTCCGCAACGGGAGAGGTCACAACAGTGAGAGGCCCGCGTACCGCAAAAAAAAAAAAAAAATAGGACTAGGCAGCTAGGAAGGAGCATGGGAGTTGCTGAGGGTTAAAAAACGAAAGAGAAAAACCAGAAAAACAAAGAGAAAGCCTGGTCATCAAATTCAGAAGGGAAGCAAGGAAGGAGCAGTGTTCTAGAAGCTGAGGAGGAGTCTGCATTAGAGTCAACATGTTAAACAACCCAGAAAGGCTGAGTAAGAGCATGAGTGACAGGAAGCCACTGGCTTGGGCAATACGTAAGCTAGAATTATCATCTACTCAAAACACATAATCCGCCAAATAAAGAATCTGTTTGAACGAGAGCTTCAACAACTAGCCGCTCAAATCCAGACACTCTCCCTAATCTATTTCTGCGGCAGGAACTTGACATGTCAGAGTTCTCATGACAGAACACAGAGTTTCACTAAGAAACTCTTCTATCCACTCACCCTAAGTGATGAAAACAAGTTTATCCTCAGTGATGAGTTCAACTTCGGAGCAGTCACAGACCAGCTTTAGAGAGAGCTACTCTTGTTACCAAACACTAAATGGTGATTTGCATAAATTGCTTAAACATTGGGAAAAAGACCAAGAACCTAGTGGAAAAAGGACTGATTTGGGAATCTGGTCTTCTATGAATTGACCTTGGGGAATTAGTTACACTATTTCCCAAAACTTAATTTTTTCATCAGCAAGGCAAGGCAGCTGGACTAGATGAGCTATGTGTCTTCAAGCTCTGAAATCCCACTTTTTTTTTACATTGAAAAACACATGGAAACTGAAGTCATCTTCTTGGGTAACAAGGGTACTACTACCTTATGCGGATTGGACACATATATGCTATTGCAAAGAGAAAAAAAACATACACCTTTTAAGCTCTACTTGTGTTCAGTGTAGAATCTCTTCACCCACACAATGATTAACTCAGAACTGTCATTTACTTTTTCAGAAAACTGGTCTTAGCAACTTAGTTGTGAATGGATTACCTCTATGGAGTCAGCCAGGATATAAACACTGTATTAGGCAAAGGATGAAAAATATTTTGCAATACCCATGACTGACTAGGAAGGCAGGCCGCACAAGTAACGAAACCAGGCATTCTGGGCTTCATTTCCAACTTCTATCTATTAATCCCTCCAGGGTTTAAATATCCTAACCATAAAATGAAGAGGTTAGCCTGGAAGATGACATATCTACTCCAGGGCAAAAAAAAAAATCTATTATTTTAATTTATTATTTTTCTTTGCAGTGTGTGGATGTGGTCAGTCACGTTCACTTTCTAAAATCTCTCTCTTCTTGTTCAAAATTTATCTTAAGCTTCTTAACATAAGAGAATACAGAGAGAGTCATATTACACGTGAGAAAGAAATCCTATTTCCCTTTGCTCAACGATGACAGAGCATCCACGTTGCCAGGGGCCTGGGAAGCCATGAAGACGCCATCCTCGGCTCTAAAAACACCAGGACTTATGAGGAGTTCATAATGAAGGAGTTGAGTGGCAACGCAAGCCCCCCACCCTTGCAGGGTAACTCACCCTGGAGAGTGGGCTCCTCTCTCTGCCTAGCATCAGAGGGTCAGTGGCTGAACATTCTAGATCAGTGATGCTCAGGTTTTGTTTTTTGTTTTGCCTTTTTTTTTCTTGCCTTCAGGTTGAGTGCATGAACAACCTACCGCTGTCAGTAACCTCTTGCATTATCCTCAGATTTTCTTGAAGGGGGAAGTAAATTGAGAACTACCCCTTCCATGTACCTTTCCTCCATCAAATGAGATTCACTGTCTTAGATTAACTATGCATTTTCAAATTTAAGCTTTCATATTTTACATCTTTGTCTTCCAAACTTTTATGTCAAATGTCATTGCCTTCCATTCAAACCAATATATATATATATCAAGTTCACAGAATTTCTGTAGGTTTTTTCTTTTAAGGATAAAATAGGAGTAAACTACTACTAGCAAGCAATACCTCCACGTTGAACTGAATCATGCCTTTCTCTCACTAAAAAAAAAACCCCAAAGTCCAAAATGAACAGCTTCTGCTCTAGATCATAACAACAGGAAGTTACCCAACCAAGAGCTCCAAATGCACATTTCTAGCTATTTCCAGATATCTCCATCTGGTTGAACATATCCCAGAATTAAATTCAGCATGCTTAAATCCACATTCTATCTTCTTTTTTTTTTTTTTTTTTTTTTTTTTTTTTTTTTTTTTTTTGCTTTTTGTGGGTCTTTGTTTTTTTGCGTGGGCTTTCTCTAGTTGCGGCGAGCGGGGGCCACTCTTCATCACAGTGCGCAGGCCTCTCACTGTCGCGGCCTCTCTTGTTGTGGAGCACAAGCTCCGGACACGCAGGCTCGCTCAGTAGTTGTGGCTCGCGGGGCTAGTTGCTCGGCGGCATGTGGGATCTTCCCAGACCAGGGCTCGAACCCATGTCCCCTGCATTGGCAGGCAGATTCTCAACCACTGCGCCACCAGGGAAGCCCCACATTCTATCTTGATCACAATGACGCCTCTTCTTTTCTCTTTCTGAGAATGTCACTATGATCCTTCTATTTAGCTCGCTCATTTCCTGTATCTAATCTGTCTTCAATTCTTGGACATTTGTACTCCGTGATCTCTCTTAGTATTTCTACCACTCCCATCATCTTTCACCTAGTCTCTCCCCTGCCACCAATGTTTTCATAATCCCCAGTCTTCTAAATGTTATTGCTAAGTCTATCAATCTAAACTACAGAGCTGATTCTTTTGCTCCTTTGTACAAAACCTTTCAATGGTTTTACTCTGACTAGTAAATAAAGCTCAAACTTCTTAAGACATCACTGAAGGCCGGTGCCATACTGTGGAACTTCTCACTACTCTTCATTAGCTCAGGTGGAGCTGTTACCCACCTCCCTACTTCTGGTCTGTTCCTACTGCTCCCTCCATCTGAACTACTCTCCTCTCCAGTGATGGGTGACAAATTTAACCCACCCTGCAAGACCAAAATCGTTTCCATCTCCTCCAGAATGAGCCATTCCTGAGCCTAATATTCCGCAACTCTGCTCTCTGAAATACGTGCACTCTCTCTTCCAAAAAATAAAAATTTGCATTTTTGTACTGTTCCAACCACGTGTCTATTACCCTTGTCTTAAATTTTTTGAACTTCTCTTATCCTACACTTGTCTTGTATCTTGCACCCTTGCCACTGAACTAGGAGTTAACTAATCGCATAAATGATTCCTGCAAATGTTAGCTGACACGATGCCTTGCACTCAGGAGCTTCCTGATAGATTTTCATTGTTAAAGCAATATTATTGCTCAAGTGATTTAAATAGAAAAAGAAGCATGAATGGATGGCTTACTATTTCATGTTATTTCCTTAATAATCAGAATCTTTCTCTCCTCTAACTGACGAGTGAAATCTAGAATGCCCTCTTATGTATCATAAGACAGCACAGGTAGGGCTAGTGAGGGAGTTCAGAGTACAGGACATGTGTACTTGAATCCTGGCCCTCCCTCTAACTCATGGCATGGTCTTGGTACGGAATCAAACAACCCTGTGGACTCTATCAACATCCAACTTTTCCTCTAATTTGACATGAGATAAAATGTCTGGAATTACTCCCACATTTGTTAACAAACTCCAAACTGATTTTTGTGATTAAGTCACATATACGCTTGGCCGTAAATATCTGCTGGACAAAAAAATGTTGGTTTGTACTGGAAGCGGATCATCTCCTGCAATGGTACTGCTCAGTCCCCAATTATACAGGTGAAACACACTCAGTCAATAGCAGACAACTTCGCCACTCATCAAATTACAACTGTGTAATGAGGCCAGCTGCTACCAGACACACCTTAAAACCTTTTGAAGCAGCAATATGGGCAGCAGTCCAGCCTTTGCTGTTGGCGTGGTTGATGAGGTCTGCAGGAACAACAGGCTTGGATGTGCCCTCACGACTCTCTTCTCCTCCGTCCAAGTCAAAGACGCCTGACTCGGGCTCCTCGTGCAACGAGTTTCCACGAGCTGGGGCCCTATGGTACATGAGAAGCTTGAGGCTGTCCACATTACCAGTGTCCACAGCTGCATGAACTGGTGTCCAGCCATCCTGAAAATAAAACGACCGGGGGAAAGGGTTGATTACAACATCAATGTTGAGAACTGTGTTATTTAAAGTTCACCTCTACATGTTCTTGGGCATGGACCACTGAGCTGGGAAAATCAGGCTTCCGATCCTGAATATCATAGATGAGCTAAGTTCTCAGACCACTGTCAATTAGTGTATTTTCCATTGCTATGACTCGTGTTTGCTATTTGGTAAGAATTTCCTCTTAACAGTTGACCATCTGGAGTGAACAGGTACTGCCCAGGATGGTAACTAAGCATTATATATGGTAAAACAAAATCTCAATTTCATATTATGAAAGAGAATGAACTTTAGCATAAAGATTTTTTTAAATTTATATGCAAATATAAAGTTACCAGTACTGTACTAAATGAATGCTGTTATAAGCCAGTTTTACCTACAGGGAAGAGTCCTAATTCTAGTTATCTTAAAATTTTATGCCACTGATTTCAGAAGGAAAGATTCTAGATAACAGGGAAAAGGCAGACATAAAGGAAAAACAAAGTCAAGTAACTTCATGAGATACCTATCAGCCTCTATGGAGCTCTCTGTGACTGCAGCTGGATATTGATAAATGCAAGCTTAGAAAATGCTCCAACTGAAACGCTTGGGCCCATTCTCTAGAACATATTATAATTTGAAGCCTCAACCGTCCACTTAGCTGGTTGCTAGAGCAGACTCACAACTCTTTCCTAGCACAGTGGTTCTCCAAGTGTGGTCCCCTGACCAGCAAGCAGCATAAGCACCACCTGTGAACTTGTTAGAAATGTAAACTGTTGAGCCTCATCCCAGACCTACTGAATCAAAAATCTCAAGGTTGGGGCCCTGCAATCCGTTTTAACAGCCATGTGGGCAACTCTGCTGCACTAAAGTTTGACAAACACTATTCTAGGGGAAATCCTGATCCTCTCTGTAGTCTCTCATTTTTATATAAAGATAGGTCTGCCTTCTACTCAGGTATCCACCTTCATTAGATTTTTAAGACTTTCATAAAAGAATTGAGAATTATTTCGGTGATACGTATTTTGGCTTCATTTTATTTTCCCTTTGGCCTATTTTTTTCATTTCATTAAAAAAATAACAGGGAGAAGAACAGACAATAAATGGTAACCATCTACATTTAGACTGAGTCATCTGATCACTTGCTAAAGCTCTCACTGAATGATGTGGCTTTTTCTCTAGTTCTGTACTTCATATCAAGGGAATCGACTTGGCTAACAGCAGACCATGGCTGGGCAGTAGCTGGAGTACCATATAGTCCTCCGGTGTACCCCAGGCAGATAAAGTGTTTCATGGCTTGTTCTTTGTTGGGCTGTAGATACCTTAACATGGGTATCAGCCTTAATTAGGCAACAGAGTGTAAGTGTTCCTGACCTTCCTTAATTTATATTACAAAGGCCATGCAGTTACTTCTGAAAAATTTAAAATCTTTCATTCTCCTTTGATTTCTTATTAAAAATCATGAGAAATAATTATTCCCTTAAGATCCTTTATCAATTCTGCTATTTATCTCTGTACTTTGGAGCCTCTGTACTTCTAACGATTTCATTCAGCTTATCAACAACTAGCTTGAGGGCATGGATTTCTGTGTTCTCTAACTTACAGGATGTGACTTTTTATGTTGAACTACTTATTTTTCATTCAGATAATGATGTAAAATTCATTCCTTTTTCATATGTAAGGCAGAATTTTATAATGAATGTGTAATAACACAGATTTCTTAAATAAAATATATAAAACAACATGAATCTGGACTATTTTCTCAGATTTTCAAAAAATAAATAGGAAATATATTAAAGAAAAAAAGCCCTTGCAATAGGACTCAATGGAAAATGTCTATACCTAGCTTATATCTCTGGTTATACCATTAATTGTTTGTTTTCTTCTGAGAAATTAAGAAAATCCAAAATCTAAGAGTGACCTTAAAGTAGGTAATGCACCTTTTTATCCTAGAAAATGTTAAGGGTGTTTCCTATGAAATGGATGCACAGTATAGTCAATTCTCTATTAACAGAAGAGATCCAAGGTTCAGATAACCTTTGGAGATTAAGATGTCTACACTTGTCTTTCATCAGGAATATCCTGGAGGGTAGTGATTATTACACTTTTCACATTCTGGGAAGCTGAAAAAAATAAATAAATAAATTCCTGATCCTAGTGAAGAGTGGGCTCCGTTAAACCCACCAGTCCTTAGATGGGCCCCCACTGGAGAAATGCATGCCAGTGTACGAAGGCTGATTTCTTGGTCCTTAAATCTATCATGATAGGTTGATGAAGACCAGTTTGGGAAGCTGAATTGAGAAGTTTGTTTCAAATGCATTTCTGTGTGGCTGAGCCAGAAGTATTATCCAAGGACTCTTCTGTGGATCAGACTCCAAATTTCTTCCGTTTCCAAGTCCCTGACTTCACCTGTGCACCCTGTATGGGAGGTACCAGAACTGTGTGGGATGGAGTCAACAGCTACCTCAGCCTGTTAGGCTTCAGAGTGGGTTTCCATACACAGTGCTTCAAGTTCTGACTCAAATTAGACAATGACCTTGAACTCTGTGAGGTGTTGCATAATCTTAGCAACAATAAATGTCAGTCCTGGGAAGAACAGTGAGCACAAATAACCTTCCTCTAAGTACTGGCAATGGGCACTGTCTTGCCACAAACTCCCTCCTGTTTACACATACTACAAATGAGCACTACTGTGGACAGTGACGACGACCTCGATGACAGCTGACCTTTGTCCATTGCTTACAATTCCCAGGCACTACACCAACTACCTTTAAAAAGAAAGGCTAATGAGCAAGCTTCTAATAATCAGATGCTCAAACAAATAAGACAATGTCCTTACCCAATATCCTCAAAGCAAAACAAAACAAAGCAACTGTATTTCGAGCTGTAGAGTTTGGAGACGTATTGTAAATTATAGGACAAAACCCAACATACAGGTACTCACTCTGGTTTTTACACTTCGGTCAGTTCCAGCTTCCAACAAGAGTTTAATACATTCGTTATTTCCATTTTTACAGGCCAGGTATAGAGGTGTCTGTCCTCCATCAGCAGCATGATTAATATTAGCATCATATGCAATTAATAATTCTACACACCTAAATGCAAGATTATGATTAATTACATACAAACTGGGTTTGATTTCTGAAGTACCACCTGACCAAGATATTAAATAGAGAAAATAATGCTAGAGCAATTCTGCATCTTTATTTACATGAATTATTAAATATATGTATCAATTATTCCTGGTCTTATTACATAGATACTGTTTTTAACAAGCCTGGAAGATGTATTTTAACTACTCCCATGAAAATTTAAAATAGCAGCTTTGATCAAGTGTGAATATGTGGTTTATGACAGTTCTCTGCAACCAAACTGTGAAAGTAGTCCTTGGAATATGTTTAACTGTGCTTGACATATATATTATTTGTGGTTCAAAATAGTTTGAACCTTGAAAAAAGTCAGGCTGCTGAGTCATTTTGAGATTTCCACTTGAGAAAATAATTAAAAATAGCACAGACAGCAGGGCACCATTTGCCTCCACTATAAAAGGAAGTACGGAGACAGAAAAGGGCCATCTTGGGGAGAAAAGACAGCAGAGGCTGTCCTGTCTCCTGAAGTGGGGCTAGTTTATGAGGAAAAAGACACAGCTAAGCAGAAACACATTGCCCTGAGAATCAAGAAGGAAAGCAATGAGGTAAATTCAAGACTTCACGGCACTTAGGAACTAACTTCAGTTTGCAAAATTAGATGAGAATAAACTTAAAAAAGAGTGATAAATCATCGAATTAAGAAGGAACTCACATCTTTGTTTCTTTGCTCAGATGCATGTTTTTTTCTTGGCTTCCCTTGGCAACATCTGGTTTGTTTATGCATATTTTTAAAATAAGTTACGTACTAATGTGTATCTAATACACATTTAAATTAATCAAGCCCCTGCATTTCACCAGGGTTCTCCCTTTTTGCAAAACCATCCATGCCTCTGTTCCCATGACTGTTATACTATCCAAGCAAGTGGCCCTACAGATTGCAGGCTGGCAGTAAAGGTAAAAGTGTAGCCCAGGAGAAGAATCTCTCTTGGAGGACTTAGGATACATGCAAAAAGTAGCAGCAAAATCAGTAGCTCTGATCCTCAACAATAAACTCAGGGTGATGAGACAAGTTAGACACACAGAAAAAAAAAAAAATACTGTACTTTATGGATGCATTTTGAATTTTTTAAAATTTACCTTTAGGACTAGTAACATTAGTGTAAAAGGTAAAACCCGTACTTCAAGAATTCTGAGATTTGTTAAAGGAAACATTTCTATCAGGATGGTAAAATAAAAAAGTTGAACACAGGTTTCATTCTCCAGAGCCTGCCACTTCATCACAGGCAAATAAAGCAATTTAGCTATATTCTATTTTATTATTAAAATATTACTTGATTTTAGAAAGTTATATCTATAGTCAACTGACTTATTAAGCTACTGAAGAAATCACTGCTAAACTTACGTATATTTTACTTGATAGGCTCTTTTTGGTTTTGTGCTGTAATTTCTTTCAGTACGTAAGCTCTGCTTCAATTTTTTTTTAATGATAAAACAAAGTGAATAATTGGGATTTAATACTGAATAAACTGCCAGTAGGAAGCTATAAGAGTATTACAATTAATATAATTCTATGTTTTACGTTTAATGCCATCGCACATAAAAAAGGTTTTTAGGTTGTGGTGGTGGAAAATAGTGAACAGCAAAGTGTTTAACAATCTGTTATATAACCACATACACAGTCGGCTGACCTTATCTGCAGGTTTCACATCTGCGGATTCAACCAACCCCAGATGGAAAATACTTAGAAAAAATCCTAGGAAGTTCCAAACAGCAAAACTTGAATTTACCACATGCTCGCAGCTATTTACATAGCATTTACATTGTATTACGTATTATAAGTAACCTAAAGATGGTTTAAAGTATACGGGAGGACATGCGTGGGTTATATGCAAATACAGCACCATTTTATATAACGGACTTAGAGCATGCTCGATTTTGGTATCTGTAGGAGGTCCTGGAACCAATCCCCCATAGACAGGAGGGATGACTTTATGTTGATATGCTAAAAATAATCTTCTTCGGAAGCAAGTTCATTCACATGAGGTTTGGAAACAGCATATTCCTCTTCTTCATTTCCCTCATATACAAACATCTATTATTAAGAAAAGCAAATTTAGGAAACTTTCACAAGCCTCATAAATAGCCTCATCCACCAGAGGGCAGAGAGCAGAAGCAAGAAGAACTACAGCCCTGCAGCCTGTGGAACAAAAACCACATTCACAGAAAGGCAGACAAGATGAAAAGGCAGAGGGCTATGTACCAGATGAAGGAACAAGATAAAACCCCAGAAAAACAACTAAATGAAGTGGAGATAGGAAACCTTCCAGAAAAAGAATTCAGAATAATGATAGCAAAAATGATCTAGTACCTCGGAAAAAGAATAGAGGCAAAGATCGAGAAGATGCAAGAAATGCTTAAAAAAGACCTAGAAGAATTAAAGAACAAACTAACAGAGATGAACGATACAATAACTGAAATGAAAACTACACTAGAAGGAATCAATAGCAGAATAACTGAGGCAGAAGAATGGATAAGTGACCTGGAAGACAGAATGGTGAAATTCACTGCTATGGAACAGAATAAAGAAAAAAGAATGAAAAGAAATGAAGACAGTCTAAGAGACCTCTGGGACAACATTAAACGCAACAACATTCACATTATAGGGGTCCCAGAAGGAGAAGAGAGCGAGAAAGGACCAGAGAAGATATCTGAAGAGACTACAGCTGAAAACCTCCCTAACATGGGAAAGCAAATAGCCACCCAAGTCCAGTAAGTGCAGAGTCCCATACAGGATAAACCCAGGAGAAACACACCAAGACACATAGTAATCAAATTGGCAAAAATTAAAGACAAAGAAAAATTACTAAAAGCAGCAAGGGAAAAACGACAAAAAACATACAAGGGAACTCCCATAAGGTTAACAGCTGATTTCTCAGCAGAAACTCTACAAGCCAGAATGGAGTGGCATGATATACTTAAAGTGATGAAAGGGAAGAAACTACAACCACGATTACTCTACCCAGCAAGGATCTCATTCAGATTCGATGGAGAAATCAAAAGCTTTACAGGCAAGCAAAAGCTAAGAGAATTCAGCACCACCAACCAGCTCTACAACAAATGCTAAAGGAACTTCCCTAAGTGGGAAACACAAGAGAAGAAGAGGACCTACAAAAACAAACCCAGAACAATTAAAAAAATGGTCAAAGGAACATACATATCGATAATTACCTGAAACATGAATGGATTAAATGCTCCAACCAAAAGACACAGGCTTGCTGAATGGATACAAAAAGAAGACCCATATATATGCTGTCTACAAGAGATCCACTTCAGACCTAGGGACACATACAGACTGAAAGTGACGGGATGGAAAAAGATATTCCAGGCAAATGGAAATCAAAAGAAAGCTGGAGTAGCTATACTCATATCAGATAAAATAGACTATAAAATAAAGAGTGTTACAAGAGACAAGGAAGGACACTACATAATGATCAAGGGATCAATCCAAGAAGAAAATATAACTATTATAAATATATATGCACCCAACATAGCAGCACCTCAATACATAAGGCAACTGCTAAAAGCTATAAAAGAGGAAATCAACAGTAACACAATAATAGTGGGGGACTTTAACACCTCCTTACACCAATGGACAGATAATCCAAAATGAAAATAAATGAGGAAACAGAAGCTTTAAATGACACAATAGATCACATAGATTTAATTGATATTTATAGGACATTCCATCCAAAAACAGCAGATTACGCTTTCTTCTTCAAGTGCGCACGGAACATTCTCCAGGATAGATCACATCCTAGGTCACAAAGCAAGCCTCAGTAAATTTAAGAAAACTGAAATCATATCAAGCATCTTTTCTGACCACAACGCTATGAGATTAGAAATGAATTACAGGGGAAAAAACGTAAAAAACACAAACACATGGAGGCTAAACAATACGCTACTAAATAACCAAGAGATCACTGAAGAAATCAAAGAGGAAATCAGAAAATACCTAGAGAAAAATGATAATGAAAACACGACGATTGAAAACCCATGGATGCAGCAAAAGCAGTTCTAAGAGGGAAGTTTATAGCTATACAAGCCTACCTCAAGAAACAAGAAAAATCTCAAATAAACAATCTAACCTTACACCTGAAGGAACTAGAGAAAGAAGAACAAACAAAACCCATAGTTAGCAGAAGGAAAGAAATCATAAAGATCAGAGCAGAAATAAATGAAATAGAAACAAAGAAAACAATAGCAAAGATCAATAAAACTAAAAGCTGGTTCTTTGAGAAGATAAACAAAATTGATAAACCATTAGTCAGACTCATCAAGAAAAAGAGGAAGAGGACTCAAATCAATAAAATCAGAAATGAAAACGGAGAAGTTACAACAGACACCACAGAAATATAAAGCAACCTAAGAGACTACTACAAGCAACTGTATGCCAATAAAATGGACAACCTGGAAAAATGGACAAATTCTTCGAAAGGTATAACCTTCCAAGACTGAACCAGGAAGAAACAGAAAATATGAACAGACCAATCACAAGCAATGAAACTGAAACTGTGATTAAAAATCTTCCAACAAACAAAAGTCCAGGACAAGATGGCTTCACAGGTGAATTCTATCAAACATTTAGAGAAGAGCTAACACCCATCCTTCTCAAACTCTTCCAAAAAACTGCAGAGGAAGGAACACTCCCAAACGCATTCTATGAGGCCACCATCACCCTGATACCAAAACCAGACAAAGATACTAAAAAAAAAGAAAATTACAGACCAATATCACCGATGAATATAGATGCAAGAATCCTCAACAAAATACTAGAAAACAGCATCCAACAACACATTAATAGGATCACACACCATGATCAAGTGGGATTTATCCCAGGGATGCAAGGATTCTTCAATATATGCAAATCAATCAATGTGATACACCATATTAACAAATTGAAGAACAAAAATCACATGATCATCTCAATAGATGCAGAAAAAGCTTCTGACAAAATTCAACACCCATTTATGATAAAAACTCTCCAGAGGGGCTTCCCTGGTGGCGCAGTGGTTGGGGGTCTGCCTGCCAATGCAGGGGACATGGGTTCGTGCCCCGGTTCACATGCTGCGGAGCGGCTGGGCCCGTGAGCCGTGGACACTGAGCCTGCACGTTCGGGGCCTGTGCTCCGCAAGGGGAGAGCCCACAACAGTGAGGGGCCCGCATACCGCAAAAAAAAAAAAAAAAAAAAAAAAAAAAACTCTCCAGAAAGTGGGCATAGAGGGAACCTACCTCAAGGTTCCAACCAGGTTGATTCTTTATAGGAACCAACATATAAAGGTCATATATGACAAACCCACAGCAAACATCATTCTCAATGGTGAATAACTGAAAGCATTTCCTCTAAGATCAGGAACAAGACAAGGCTGTCCACTCTCACTACCATTATTCAACATAGTTTTGGAAGTCCTAGTCACGGCAATCAGAGAAGAAAATGAAATAAAAGGAATACAAATTGGAAAAGAAGAAGTAAAACTGTCACTGTTTGCAGATGACATGATACTATACATAGAGAATCCTAAAAATGCCACCAGAAAACTACTAGAGCTAATTAATGAATTTGGTAAAGTTGCAGGATACAAAATTAATGCACAGAAATCTCTTGCATTCGTATACACTAATGATGAAAAATCTCAAAGAGAAATTAAGGAAACACTCCCATTTACCACTGCAACAGAAAGAAAAAAATACCTAGCAATAAACCTACCTAGGGAGACAAAAGATCTGTATGCAGAAAATTATAAGACACTGATGGAAGAAATTAAAGATGATACCAACAGATGGAGAGATATACCATGTTCTTGGATTGAAAGAATCAATACTGTGAAAATGACTATACTACCCAAAGTAATCTACACATTCAATACAATCCCTATCAAATTTCAATGGCATTTTTTACTGCACTAGAACAAATAATCTTAAAATTTGTATGGAGACACAAAAGACCCCAAATAGCCAAAGCAGTCTTGAGGGAGAAAAACAGAGCTAGAGGAAGCAGACTCCCTGACTTCAGACTATACTACAAAGCTACAGTAATCAAGACAATATGGTACTGGCACAAAAGCAGAAACATAGATCAATGGAACAAGATAGAAAGCCCAGAGATAAACCCACACACCTATGGACAACTAATCTATGACAAAGGAGGCCAAGACATACAATGGAGAAAAGACAGTCTCTTCAATAAGTGGTGCTGGGAAAACTGGACAGCTACATGTAGAAGAATGAAATTAGAACACTCCCTAACACCATACACAAAAATAAACTCAAAATGGATTAGAGACCTAATTGTAAGATCGGACACTATAAAACTCTTAGAGGAAAACACAGGAACACTCTTTGACATAAATCACAGCAAGGTCTTTTTTGATCCACCTCCTAGAGTAATGCAAATAAAAACAAAAATAAACAAATAGGACCTAATGAAACTTCAAAGCTTTTGCACAGCAAAGGAAACCATAAACAAGATGAAAAGACAACCCTCAGAATGGGAGAAAATATTTGCAAACGAATCAACGGAGAAAGGATTAACCTCCAAAATATATAAACAGCTCATGCGGCTCAATATTAAACAAACAAACAACCCAATCCAAAAATGGGCAGAAGACACAGACAGACATTTCTCCAAAGAAGACATACAGATGGTCAAGAAGCACATGATAAGCTGCTCAACATCACTAATTATTAGAGAAATGCAAAGGCAAAACTACAATGAGGTATCACCTCACACCAGGTTAGAATGGGCATCATCAGAAAATCTACAAACAACAAATGCTGGAGAGGGAGTGGAGAAAACGGAACCCTCTTGCACTGTTGGTGGAATGTAAATTGATACAGCCACTATGGAGAACAGTATGGAGGTTCTTGAAAAAACTAAAAATAGAATTACCATATGATTCAGCAATCCCACTACTGGGCATATACCCAGAGAAAACCATAATTCAAAAAGACACATGCACCCCAATGTTCACTGCAGCACTGTTTACAATAACCAGGTCATGGAAGCAACCTAAATGCCCATCAACAGACAAATGGATAAAGAAGATGTGGTACTTATCTACAATGGAATATTACTCAGCCATAAAAAGGAACGAAACTGAGTCATTTGTTGAGACGTGGATGCATCTAGAGACTGTCATACAGAGTGAAGTAAGTCAGAAAGAGAAAAACAAATATCGTATATTAACGCAGGTATGTGGAACCTAGAAAAATGGTACAGATGAGCCGGATTGCAGGGCACAAGTTGAGACACAGATGTAGAGAACAAACGTATGGACACCAAGCAAGGCAAGCGGTGGGGGGATGGGGGTGGCGGTGGGATGAATTAGGAGATTTGGATTGACATGTATACACTGATGTGTATAAAATTGATAACTAATAAGAACCTGCTGTATAAAAAAACAAACAACAACAAAAAAAAAAGAAGAGCAAATTCAGGATCCTACTTTGCATTTAAATTCTCAAATATGTTTAGCTGAATTTATTTGCCAATGGATCTTAAGCACTAGTTTACATATTCAGCCAGAACTAAAATATGTGTGCAAATTATAAAGAGGCTCTTTTCATAGGAAAAAAAAAAAAAAGAATTAAGAGCATCACTTACTTGAAATGTCCCTGAGCAGCTGCAGCACACAAGGGTGTGAAGCCATTTTTATCAGCAGCATTGACTTGGGCTTCTGCATTCAGCAGCAATCTCACACAGTCTATGGATTTTAATAGAAAGCCATTTTAATTCCCCACTTAGTCATGATGAACCAAATTCTGTACGAGCTGTAGACAAACACTAACCCCAAGGGACCTCTCTGATGCACAGCTCATCTGACAATTTTTTTCAGGGCCGCTGTGAGACTCCACAGACTGTTATAAAGGGAAAGCGGCCCCTTTCCCCCAGGATTGTAATACCCCAGTCACCAACTAAGACATGACTTCTTTCTCTTTTTTTTTGGCGGGACGGGGGGGAGAGGAGCTGCTGATGAGTGAAAGGACCGTCATATGTCAGAAAATGTTTTATCAGATTTTCCCATCAGTCAATCCCCAAAAATAATACTACTGGATGGAGAACAAAATCCATTCACCACATTGATATACCATTCTTTGTATTTAAATAGTTAAATTCTTACCTTATGATGTTTAATTTAATCTCTAAAATGCTTTCATGTTGTGGTCATCTTATACTTAACTCCCTGAATGAAGATCAAGGAGAAGCCACACAAAGTCATCAGACTCCGGCAAAAATAGCACCTAGACCTCACATTCCACGTGTTATTAACTACACTGAATTTCTTTAGAGAAAATTCCCACAGTACTTTGGAAGAAGTACTCCAAAATACTTTTAAAATAAGGAGCTATCATCTTGTAGTTCACTAGAATCTTGCATGTAGTCCACTCGAACAGAGAGAAGCTCTGAAAACTTCCAAGGAAGCCACATTATGTGAATTATCCAAGGATCACATGGCTTACATATGCAATACTATTTGACTTTGTTCTTGCCATCGAATCATCTCTTTATCTGCACTACTGTATGTTTTAGTATATTTGACTCTAAGATTTGCTTTTCAAGGAACAAGATTAATTCCCCGACTTCATCGATATGTCGTTTATAATTGTACAACCTCTCTGTTCTCTTAAAAAAATCCAAATAACTATAAATTGTTCCAACTACAGAACAATTTCAGACCCATGACCTTTCCTAACTACTCAAACTTTCCCTCACTGCAGCATGTGCTAAAGCCCTAAGGCTTTGCTTTCACAGACACCAGCTATTTCTAACAAATTAGAGCTATTTTGTCCTGGCCAAAGCGATAACATATGGGGGGGCTTTATTTGAAAATGTCCTTTACAGTTACTAGACCCCAAATTTCTACAAACCGAATACATTTCATTGTGCATAAAACAGAGATGACTTTTTGCTATCTGCAGTAAAAGTTTAGATTATTACGGAACTGTCCAATTTGGATTTTTAAAATGCTTATAAAATCTTTAAATCATGTAAAAAAGTAATTTATTCTACCTGAAAGAGAAAATTTGAAACCTAAATTCACCTTTTGCTCATAACAGTGGTTACAGGTGCTTTTGATTCTGCATCCTTTTGCAAGAGGGTGATACAGTGAGGTGAGATGCCACCATCTTACCTGTATGTCCATCCTTAGCAGCAGAATACAAGGCAGAATGGCCATCTTCACAGGAGTAATTTATGTCCAGTCCTTCTTCATTAAGCAGCATTGATAATAAAGTGACATTTCCCTGGGCAGCAGCTTGCTGAAGAAGGGTGGGCCTGCCAGCCAGGGGGGCAGGACCACCACTCATTAGCAAAGGGGTTAGGGAGGGTGACCAGCCTGTGGGTTAAAGTGACCCTAGTTAGAGAGTAGGAGCAAGGTCAAGAGACAGATATTACCCACTCCTTTCTGAATTACACACACACAGACACATGAACATGTACCCCTAGAGGATTACGTGGTTTCTAACATTATCAATCTGTTAATATTTACTTTAGCATAAATCTGTACTGTTATTTCAATCTTGTATCTACTGTTAGTTAAATTAACATACATGGTGACAAATTATTTTTAGTCATCAGTCTTGCACAGATAAGTGTTAAAGGGGTGATTGGTTTCAGGAAACTAAGAAAGCTGTCTCGATTTGAAAGTTCAAACGCCTCCTCAGGGTTTCAAAACAATTTGAATTTTAAAATTATGTACAGATTTCCTCAATTTTGGGTATCAACTGATAGATATCTTTAGGTATAAGATATAGATAATTCTAAAAAATAGAAATTTTCCTTTTTCTACAATGTTTCCAAGGTACTTAATATAAATTTTACATAAACCACTGAGATGGACCAAATACTGTCAAGGAATCTATTTACATTCCTTGAATTCCCTTATTTGGGAAGAAAAATAATGGGCAGCCAACTTCTATTCAGTGTCAAGAGCTAATAGAAGCACAACATATATAGACTATACCAGCACAAATATTCAATACACAATTTTGAAGACTATGTCATCTGGCCATCTTCACATTTTGCACCAAAAACTTTTCATCAGCCACAGAACAGAACACTCTACCATAGAGTTTTAACAAAAGTCATTAAGAGTTATCACAGAGATTTCTCATCAGTATTTAGCAGCTTTAGAAGAGAATCTGTTAAGTGTGTGAAGTCGGTTGCATATAGCATGGAAAATTTTCTGAATTCTTCCTTGATCAAAAGGCTGTAAAAACAGTAAAGTAAAAATGTTTATTTAACATGATATATAGGTACTTAGTGTATTTTAGGCGTAAATACAATTAACTTTCAAAATAAGTCATTTTTATTTCTTCCTTATGGAGCCCCCAAAACCTGAAAGTTGGTGTGTATATGGGGCATATGTGCACATATTCACTCCTGGGGTACACTTTCTACCTCTGTCTGGTAACATTCTCTGTAGTAAGATACAATAGTGGAGCTTTTATATTCCCTGCACCTTGGTAACAGGATAATATTCTAAGTACATGGGTGTTATATTAATATGTAATAAACTCATAATTGAATCTTGAATTATTGGCCTTAAATTATTTCACTAAGTATTAAAAAAAGTGCATATCAAAGTATTTCTCAGTATTTTAAAGATTCTTTGGGGAAAAAAAAGCAGTTTCTACAAATGAAACTGCTTATTAAAAACTGGATATTATATCTTCAGAATCAATTATTTGGGTCTCTGAGTAACTTATTGCTTTTACCTTATTAGACTGCAATAACATAAAATTCATTGCTCACAAAATTAAATATTTATCTAAACTTTACGATATTTTCCCATTGATATTCATTAGCTCTTCTTACAAAAGTAAGATTTTTTACTTCATACTTACAAGAAGGCTCCTCTCTGATAACATTTTACCTTTTGTATTTTCTTAAAAACAAAGAAACAAGCCCACAAAAATTAAATCAGTACTTATTAGAAATAGATGATAAACAGAGAAATTATAAACACCAAGGTATGAAACCTTGACTGCAAAGCAAACACAAAAGCAATTCAAACGCATTGGCACTGTGGTCCTCTGTGGAATAGGAGGGACTGTGGCTCATGCTCAGTCAGTCTGTCTATCTGTCTCTCTCCCTTTCCTCCCTCCCGACCTTGACCCCAGTCCCCTTTCTGTCTCTCCCTCTGTCTGTCTCTCTCAATCCCTCTACCTCACCCCAGGGGTCTCAGTTCTTGACACCCTTTTAAGAATATCAACTGGTATATATTAAATGGTTTCCTATTCTTTTGGGTTTTGTTTTCATTTTTCTTTTTTTAATACAATTCTAGACTTTGGGGGACAATTAAAATATAAATATATTTTAACTTTTTTAATGGAAATAGTCCATTATGGAGATAATTTCCTGGGAAACTCCATTTCTAATGTTAAGCTATCTTAAGACAAAATATTTTATTCAAAAATTTTCTCAATCTCTAGACCACTCAAGAGTCTTACAGTTCTGTTATACAAAACTCCAGAAGAATATATATCAATTTTATTTTCTTATTTTAAATACACTTAATAATCTTTTAAAAGTGAAAAATGCTTTATAAATACCAAGTATTCTTAAAGTTTAACTACATTTTTTTATCTCCACTATCATTTCAATTTTCTCCAGCACAGGCAAGCTTAAGTTATTATAATAAATCCTGCTATAAAGATGGGAAAAATAAAACTTCACCATGAGAGTTTACTGTTCATTTGAAATTCCGGACAATGATAAAAGTGATAATATTTAGTTGACTGGTTAAGTAATGGTTAAGTAATGATAGAACAGACCTGCAGTCATACAGCTACTTTAATGATGTTAGAAAAAGGTCATTCAGCTTTGCAGTATCATGTGCAAACATTAGTAAAAGTGAGCATCTGGCAGAACGTGCAGTGATGAAGGGAACAGACAGAACATGCAATGGCAGAGGAGTGAAGAACAGCTTCTGGCATCAGCTTCAGAGTGTGGAGAAGGTTAATCTCATTCATAGCTCAGATCAATCTCGTTTTCTGACTTAGCCTTTAAGCCAATTAAACATGGAGGATAATTTTTTAAATACATGTTTACCTAAGGAAAAAAATCTGAACCAAATTAAATAAAATGTATCAAATAATAATTTTTTAAAAAAACAGAAACAACGCTTGCAAGGGTATGGAAACTCAGTTGCCTGGGGTGATTTCTGGTTTAGGCTTCTGTTCACCTAACAATTAAAATGTGTTCATTTGACAAGGTCAGCAGCAGCAAGAAATTCTAATTTGTTTATAATTTTAAAGGTTATTTAAAAATTTAACATTTGGCTATAACACTGCTAATCGAGTTAGAGTAATTTACAACACAATTCATTAAAGTGGTATCTTTCGTCATTGCAATTCTCCTCAGTGCTTTCATTTAACCATAATTGTTTATCATACATATAAGGTGACATAGAAACAGATTTTTAGAGTTTGAAAGATCATGGGATCTAGATTTCCAAAGAGGGAGAGGTAGTGAGATGCTATTTGAAAAATTCAACAGGCAATTTTAATACATCTTTTTGGTTTGGAACTATTATTACTTTTTTGGTTCAGTGCTTTCATTTTTAGATGGAAAAACTAATAGCTCAGAGAGAATTTGCTCTTTAGGGTAATACACAGCAAGGAGCAGAAATGGACTAACGTTGCATTTTTATACTCAGTCCAGTGCTTTTTTCATCACCGACATCGGAAAACACATCAACCAGGTATTTGATAGACATGCTCTGTCCCCATGTCCTGCTCTTAGCAATCACAATGACATTAGTGGCTATTTACAAGATGCATACCCTTCACTGAGCCTATGTTTTGGCGAGGCACATGCTCACCCAGGCACAGGTAGGTTAGGAAGGAGGATGGGGGGTGCTTCCTAGTTGCAGCGGGCACAGCAGCAAAAATAGGGGCATCTAAATGGAAAACAGGTGAAATCCTATATCTCATTTGGAAAGTTTAGGTTGACCTACATCCACGGTTGAGTTATACACCCCAACCATGTAACTGCAATAACATTTCTATCCCCCAATAGAATGTTCAGTAAATTCTTGCTGATGACTAATAACTTCCACTGCCTCCATTTTCTCCTAATAAACTATATCTTATAATCAAATGACAAAAAAGCTTGTTACCGCACCAAATGCAATCCTGCAGTTCTAAGAATATTTTGGCCAAACTGCAAAATCAGAGAACAGAAAATGAGGAACCAGTTTCACGGATCTTCAGTGACTGCTATTTCTTTGGTTCCACTATTTATCCTCTTTTGTTCTCTAGACACAAGCAAAGGTGTTTTTTCAGAGGAGTTATGGTTCCTTTATCCAAAATCCCATTGTATCCTAGGCAGGGCATTTTAGTGAATAAATAATGGACTAGGAATTCTCTGACTTTAAAGGTTAACTTAAAATCCTGCTGTCAAAAGTTCTTCAGTCACGGATCCTGATTTTAAAGCTTTTCCATGGGAAACAAAGGGCATTTGGAGCTGGACTCTGGAACACAGTAATGACCAAGGCAACTACTGGCAAATCACTAGGGTATAAAGCAAAGATGGCTTTGTATTTTTTAAAAAACTGGCAAAATTCATATATCCCAGGAAGTGTTTTCTGTTTTATAGTCTATGCATTTATGTCAACAGCACTGCCATGTCCCCAAACATTTTTGGAACTTGTGTTTTGCAACTACCTTAAGTCCTTACAGCACATTCTCTGATGCTCCTTGAATGGTAGCAAAAATTCCTCCTTTGAGGGTGGATTTAACTTGTGGCAAAGAGCTAACATCATTTTAGGCCATGAGAAAGGCCATCCAGCTCAGTAATACCATTTTAGATTAAAAAAAAATATGGAATGCTCAATGCCTGGAAAGACATCCCAAAGCAATACCAGAGTCAATTCTAAAGGAAATTTTCAAAATGCTTTAAGCAACAGTAAATTGAAGCAGTAATAGCCCCTCTTTTTGTTCATCACTCATGCTGCTCTAAGCTCAATACCATGCTCTTTGTACATTATGATATTAAATCCTCCTAACAGCCACCCTCCCCAATATGAGCAGCATAAGCTCCATGTTAAGGATGAGAAAAGTTGCTCAGTTCAAGAAACATCCCCCAAAACATACAGCTGTCAATGGCAGAGCCTAGATTCCAAGGCAGATCTGACTGACATCAAAGTCCATGCTGTTTCCAATTCCCAATTTTGCCCCTTAAAATATGAATCTAGCCTCTCAAAGAGCTTAATTTCAAGGAGACAGCTTATAATTGGATAAATAAGTCCCATTATAATGCTCTCATTACCTGATAAAATTAGCAAGTACAGTACTACCTGTTTTTCTTATTCCCATGCTTCTCCCTAAATTTTAAATATAACACAGCTCAGATCTTCCTTTAATTCTTAAAGTTCTCTCTCATTAGAACCAACAGTCTCTACTAACCACTAAGATCCTGGGGTAGAAGAGACCCTGCAAAGTTTCAACAGAACTATGACACCGTAACATTATTTTAGAGTCACATTTACTCAGTGAAAGATGAATGCCAATAAAAAGCAATGCTTCCTCTAGCACTATATAACGAAAGGGAAAAATCCAGTTCTTTATCGATTCTTTGTTCAAGAGTCCCAGATTCGGTGACTTCATAAACCACATCTGCAATGGAAACCTTCTCTAATATAGTCCACATGCTATGTTATCCATCTGTGCTCAAGTGTTAGGAGATGACAGCTCTAAATAACTTCTGAAATAAACTAAACTTAGAACAGAGACTTACAAATATACACACTATTTTTGAGGTTAAAAAAAATAAACACCAAACTGATATTAAAACTTAGGATATACCAATTACAGAACACCTCTAATCAATTTGATAATCCAAGGTTGACTGTAGTGTCAATAACTACTTGAAAGCATTCTTTCAAATGTCATCTCAGAAGGGACAGAACTGACTGTCTGGCGATGGCTCACTAATACTGAAGTCTTCTGAGACAGATATTTAATAAGAAGGACGAGCCCTTCCTCCCATGGAAATGCTTCAGTCTCTCTAAATTAATGGTCTCCATGTGCTCCAAACCACTACTTTCAGGTTATTTTTAAAAGAAGACAACACTTAGCATAACAAAACCACAATTCATATAGCAAGATGAATCACCATACCCCGGAGCCTTTAGAGCAAAACACAAAAAAAGAGAGGAAAGAAATAGGAAAAAAAAAAGTACCAAATTAAAAAAAACGTTTCAAGGCAATGTGAAGGAAACAAAGGCAAGTGAGAGGACAGGCCACATTCTTAAAGAAGGGTATAACATTCCAATCCCTTTACCTGATGCTGTTACCAGGAGGCTGTCTGAGGCACCTGCTCTACAGGATGAGGCACTAACAGGGTTTATGGAAGAGCGAAAGGCAATGGTGGTGGGAATGACAAGGGAACTTTCTGAACATGCAGGTTGGTTCAGTCCAGGGGTTTCAGCAGGCCAGGCACCCACCTGAGACGTGGCCAGGGCTGAAACGGCACAGCCTGCAGGTGCCACAGTTAAATCTATGGATGGTTTTGGTGGCAGCTGAGGGGAGGAAGACTTAAGGAGATTCTCCTCACTTATTACCCTGTTCCCTTGTGGCAAACTGGAAGGAGGCGAAGCCACAGTTTTGTTATCAACTTTGGCCCCTGCATTGGAGGCCCTGCTGCTATCCATGACAACCTTGAGTTGCGGGTGCGGTGGAGAAGGAGTGTGGGAGAGCCCTGGCTTTTTGGGAGGGATGGGAGGAGGGTTTCCTCTGTCAACTCGTGCGGCACCGGGAGTCTTTAAACTGGTCCGACCGACGGGGGGGTAGGTGCCAACGTCCCCCGTGGGGGGCACTCCAGGTCTCGGGGGCGCTCCTGCTGGAGGGCTCGTAAATCTTGACAGTGCTTGGGTCACAGTATTCCGAGCTAGCTGTTTGGCCACTAGGTTGTCACGACTTGTAGGAGATACATCTCTGGATGGAGGACTTTGGGTGGTGTTCCCGTTTTGGTCTGGGTCATTAGCATTGCCCTGAAATCGAAACCGAGCCGCTTGGATTCGCGGGTTCAGGCCTGGATGCAGAGGCGCGTTGGCACACGGTGAATGTAAACTGTGAGGAGGTGGGGCGGGCGTGTGCCCAGCGGCCGGGGCGGCGGTGCTGGGAAGCGGGGATGCGCTACTGGTTAAATCTGGTGTTGAGCCGCTGCTCGGTCCATTTTCCTCAATTCTGTTTGCGCTTGGAGGTGGGACAGTGGGCAGAGAGGAACCAGTCAAGTCACCGTGGGAAGCCTGCCTGTCGATACCTGGCCTGACCAAGTCGGCACTGGCACACGCATTCCCCTTCGCATTGGCAGAAACTAGGGGGCTCCCCATGGCAGGCTTTACAGGCACGGTCAAAGGTGACTTCTTCACGGGGTCAGTGCTCTCTATCGCTAAGTCTGTCTGGCATGCAACAGATCTTGTCATCAGTCCCTCTGTTCCCACAGATATAGAGACCAAACGTCTATCTTTTGTCTTCCGGGGGAGAGAGAGGCTGGGTTTGCTGTCGTTTCCCCTTTTCAGTTGCTCGATCATCTTCTTCATCTTGTCTATCTCCTCTTTGAGGTCAGTGGTGTGTGCTTCTTCTCGGTGCAGCTTGGCACGAAGCTGTTCCCGCTCTGTGTCAAACTCTGAGAGCTGTTTTTCCATCTGAGCTTCCATTTCTGTGCTTCTTCGTTTCTCAGCAGCGAGTTCCTCTTCTAACGCACTCGTCTTTTTCTTCTCCTCTTCCAGTTTGGCCATCACCTCTTCTAGCTTCTGGGCCTCCTCTAGGACTTTGCCTGAGAGCTGCTTGCACTCCTTGACCAGCATCAGGACCACGTGCTTGTTCTTGCCTCGCTCCTCCTCCAGGCGGGTGGCCAGCTTCTTGTGCTCTTGCTCAAGGGCTTGGAGCTGAAGCTTTTCCATCTCCAGCTGAAAGAAATGCACAGGACAGCCCTGATTAATAGGCAGAGGATTCTTTCAGCCAAAGAAGTGGAGAGATTTTTATTAATTTTGTAACAATTACATGGTTTGGGTTAAAGTGCCACGTTTCTGAAATGTGTTGTGAGATGACAGATAATATTTTAGAGACTCATTAAAATGAGAAACTAGATGTAAACCGTTTTACAAAAAACATCTAAATTACAGCAACAGAAAAAAATTTAATGTATTAAAGTTAACTGTAGAAAAGGAGAATAGTTACCTGATGCTTCAAAATCACAACAGAGTTTAGCAAGGTCTGCTTTGTAAAAACAGAACTCTGTTAGGGAACTGACTTTTTTTTTTTTTTAAGGTTTAATGCCTTAAAATTACTCATCTTTGAGGCACTGTTTAATAAAAAGTGCTGAAAACAGAGGACTTCAGTTAATTTCTAAACTCCTATACTTGCTAATCATATTACTTAGTTTTTTGTAAACTTCTTTGAGCTTATGATGGGTTGCTGTAAAAATCATGTAAAATCATATATGAAAGTTCTTTGAACTAATATGTAAGAAATATCTTATTAGAAATACAATCAGTATCAGTGAACCCCAAGTCTGACCTCATCTCCTTCAATCCCACTTTGCCCACTTGGTTCCCATGACACTGGTCTCCCCGGTGTTTCTTGAACATCATCCTGCCTCAGCGCCTCTAATCTTGCTGCTCTCTCTGCCGAGAAATTCCACCACCACCCATCACACAGGGCGCCTGCACTGAGGAGTCTGTGCACTGCACAAGGGTGACCGGCTGCAGGGGTGAGAGGGACCGAAATCCAGCTCTGCCTTCTCACCACGTGTCTGCCCAGGCCTGGGGCTGTATCTGTCTGGAAAGAAGGGTGCATTTTCCTTTAGGAAAAAGGCTCTGTCTGCTCACTGAGCCACAGGTCCCTAGGATTTAGGCTTTCCAAAGCAACATTTGCTTAACTGATAAACATAGAGAAGAAGCTTTTAAAAACTTTTAAACCTCCAGGTGGGTTTTCTAATATGCACAAAAACACCGAACGGCACAAAAGCCTGGCTCTTTTTCTTCCTTCAGGACTCTGCTCAACTGTCACCTTCACAGCGAGGCTGCCCTCACCATCCTGTGGAAGACAACAGTCCTTCCCACCCTTGTACTTATCACTCTTTGGTTAGCACCTGCCTACCTCGACTACAACAGGACTCCACGAGGGCAGGGACTGTGTCTTCATTGCTGCTGTGTCCCCAAGACCTAGAACAGTCTCTGGCACACAGTGGTGCTTAATAAACTACTGACTGAATGAATGAAATCAACACAGTTCACAAAGACATCAAACTTCCAAAGGCTGATGGACTTTTTGGATACGAAGGCCTTACAGATGCACTATTCTAACATGTTCACCCAGGTTTCCCACTTCTCTCCAGGAAACATCTGCCATGAGGTGCTTGTGAGGGATACATCCCAAGCTGGGCTGTAGTCGTCAGGCCGGCCCACATGCCTTACCTTCTCAACTAGAGAAGCTTTCCCTTGGTGGTCCTTACAGATAAGGTTAAAGTAGATCTACCTGATGAAAGACATGGAAAGGACTCCTGCAACCCCCAGATGTTAAACACAAATATACTCTCAAGAGAGACAGGGATTATTCAAGCCAGTTCCAAGTCATCAGTGACAGAGGAAGGAAACGCTCGCATGTGATCCATCAGTTGAGAACGTGCTCCTGTTCCTCACCATGAAATCCATTCCCCTCAGTCACACATGAGACCAAAAGCAGAGAACGGCTCACTGCCCAACCAGCAGTCAGAGGTATGATTCACTTACTTTGGGATTCTTCCTGCTTTGAGGAAGTCGCCGAATAGCAATGCAATGGGTCCTATAAAGAGGTGATCAGGAATACAGATAATTCCCCAAGAATAATTAGAGACAACTCTCCATACACATACACTCTACTCTACTATATGAAATTTGGGGGTGACTTCATAAGTAGATTACGTAAGATTTGGGAAATAACAGTGCTGTCCTATACTAGATGTATATGTATATTTTATTCATCTGGGTGCCTCACAGAAAATTGGACTTATTAATAGCTAAAGCACTTTTAACTCTTCTAAATGCATCAAGCAATAGGTTACTATGGAAGGCATACAGAAAATTAGAGCTATAAAGAAAATATTAAATATGTTTTGTATTACCCCCTCCCCTTCCAAATTCTTACAGCAACGTAGGAAAAAGCACATATCGGGTAAATTTTCAGCTTATTTTTAAAATATGATTTTCCTAATTTATCTCTGAAGGCGGAAAAAAAAGTTTTCTTGTAGAATATAAGGGCTACCTGCACTTTATAAAACAACTAACTAGAGGCCAAGTTGGCGATTTCCCTGATGTCATCCAGTTATTCCATGTCAGGATCCCGGCACTCATTCAGGTCTCCAACTGTCTCAAGTTTTTCCCACCACATCACACACGCTGCCCATAGTATTTCTATACTATGGGTCATCACACTTTATTTTTATTTTATTTTTTGCAGTACGTGGCCCTCTCACTGTTGGGGCCTCTCCCGTTGCGGAGCACAGGCTCCGGACGCGCAGGCTCAGCGGCCATGGTTCACGGGCCCAGCCGCTCTGCGGCATGTGGGATCTTCCCGGACCGGGGCACGAACCCGCGTCCCCTGCATCGGCAGGCGGACTCTCAACCACTGCGCCACCAGGGAAGCTCCACACTTTATTTTTGAAATAACTTTCATCTTACATTTTAGAATCAAATTAAAGACTTCCAACAGGAGATCAACTCAACTAATCTCAGATATTTATACAAAAGACTATAAAAGCACCCATAATTCTTCTGCATCTTTGTCCTTCCATCATTCGTGCCTTATAAATCTGATCTCGGAGGAACATGAGTCTTTTTAGTCTCACTACAGATAGCAAAGCACAGAGGAAACCACATAACCATGCACCTACAACACATGGTTCCAAACTCAATTGAGCTCTGAGCCCCAATCATCAATCACTCTGCCTAACTCTGCTTAGCCTCCTCTACCATGTACTACGTCAGGGAATATTTAAACCTCTGCTACTCTCCCCAATACTTCACCCAATGACAACTCAAGAGACTCTCAGTCTACCCTAATAGACTCTTTTATCAAGAAAATTCAGACTAACTCACTCCCTCTACATCCTGTCTCGTCCCTTAAGCATTTTTATAGCCACTCCAATCCATATGTCCTTCCCTTCACTCTAAGGGAGAGAGGTTTCCATCTGCTGAAGGTCAGACTTTCTTCAACATTTAACTTCATTACTCCCTGTCACCTCTGACTTGCTCCATCAGTGATCACACTGCTCTTTATAAATATTAAATGTCTTCCTCTCTATCAGCTCCTTCCAATCAGTATATAAACATATTCCCACACTTAAAAACTAATTTTTATATTTAAAAAAATCCCTTGACTATTCTGGCCCAGAGACAAAGTTCTTGTCCTTGAAAGAGTAAGAACTATAGTACTAAGTTCTAATCCCAACTTCTTGGCCGTGTCACCTTGATAAGTTTTCCCTCTAAAGATCAGTTCTGTTTGGTTCTCTTATCTGCACAACAGAGCAATGACAGTCATTACATTATAGGATTAAATGAGGCAAACACATGTCAAGTATCTACCACTGTGCCTGGCACTAAAAAATGTTAAGTTTTCATTTCACAGCATAATAACTATTTGTGCTATTTAAAAATGTCAGTTTTACACAGTGTTTTTCCTCTGAAAACACATTTAACAGGCAAACAAAGATCTAGAGAGCTGACCATATTAAACATACAGATGATGTTTTTTATAAGTTTGATAGCAATTATAATATAACAATGCAAAGTACATCAGAGAAAGTTCCACTACCAGGAATGGTGAAACAACTTTTATTAGACTATCTTCTCCTGCAGGTAATAACGATAAACATTTGATAACATATTAAGAAAATAACTATTTGAAGGCTCTGGAGAGCAATAAAAGTGATAAAAATAGGAGAGGAGTACACCTTCCCATTAGGAAGAAGTCAACAGCACTGGATGAGATTTCCCCTTGTAGAGCTTTTCAAGTGAGGGCTATTCCCTGTGCTGATAGCTCTGGCAGCAGGAGCTCAAGCACAAAGCACCCCTTACAGTGGCCTGAGGAGCCAGAGGATGAAAGCAACTGGAGCCACTGCAACTAACCTCACCAGCATCACTGGTTAACTCTTGAATTATACATTTGTAGAAGAGATTCCATACTGAATGACAGAGGTGGCTGCTGAATGGAGAACTGAGCAAATACTTCAGCTACTGCCAACTGCAAAAAGCCAGAGTTCAGAGTATGAATCTAACCAGGTTAACTACTTACTAGAAATACACTCTTCAGAAGATAACAGAATCCACAGTCTCTGTACCACATCATCCATAATGTCTAGTATGCAATAAAACGTTACTGGGCATGCAAAAACGTATTTTAGGTGATCCACTGTCAAGAGAAATGTACTCAAACAGAAACTGATCTTAAGATGATCTACACTGGAATTCGCCAACAAGAATCTTAAAGCAGCCATTTTCTAAGAAAATATAGTTGCAGTGACTGAACAGGATAGGAGTCTTAGCATAGAAATGCAAACTAGGAACAAATGGAAAGTCTAGAACTGAAAAGCATAATATCTAAAATGAAAAAAAAAGTTGACTGAATGAGCTTAATAGAAGATTTGAGAGAGGAAAACTTAAAAAGAAAAGAAAAAACAATGAATTTGAAAATAGAGCAAAATAAAGTATCCAATTTGAGGAACACAGAAAAGAAGACTGAAAAAGTGAAGAGCACTTCAGTGACCTGTAGGACAATATAAAGTGGTCTAAATTCCACATAACTGGATTTCCAAAGGGTGAAGAAAGAGAGAATGGGGAAGAAAAATATATTAAAAGAAAAAAATGGCCCCCAAATTCACAAATTTGGTAGAAAACAAACTTACATATCCATGAAGCTCAGAAATCCCAAA